GGGTCCTCAAGGACAAATAGGCTTGGCCCTTGCAGGAGAAAGAACGTCCGTCCAAAGACGAAGTTGCTGGAGAGGGAACAGCAGAGAGTGACTGGGCATGGCAAGGGGGACAGGTGCCACCCAGGCTGGCCACAGATGTCCTCACACACAGGACGTGGGGCCTGCCATCCTTTCCAAGGCGGCGTGGGGTGGGGCAGGGAGAGGACAAGTCACAGGGTGTGCCAGGAGACAGATCTGCTTTCTGGAGAGGCCGCTGGGCTCTGGGTGGACGACGCTGCAAAGGGGCAAGACAGGAGGTTTGGAGGTTGAGCAACACGGGCAAGTGAAGGCAGGCAGCGTGAGGTTAGCGTAGTTCTGGGAAGTCATTCAGAAGTAGGGTCCACATATCTGGGTGTGTAACCCGATGAGAGGGAGGAGTTCAGGTGTCCCAGCGGATGGGATCCAGGGCCTGGAGGAGCTGCGGCAGAGGAGAGAGGGCTGGCCCCAGCACCGCTTCAAGTTGCCAGTGAACACGAAGGGTGGTGTGGCCTGCCCCACCGTTAAAGGACACGGGCACATTCAAGTCCCATGGCTTTCCTTGTGACACATGCCCACGTCGAAACAGTCATGGCAGAACAGTCATAAATATTAATAGACACAGACCAGAAATATTTTGAAAAAGAGCATGATTCGACACCTTCCTCCTGAATCCATAAATCTCCCCTCCTTTGTGTGATTTGTAGCTAGGGCCTGGGTCCTCTGGAAAGTGTGCCCAGATGACATCAGACATTGCCCAAACTGCCCACACAGGTCCCTGAGCATGCATCTCCTCAACATACGAGGGTTGTGTATATTTTGGCTCTTAAAGACCAAATGCATAAATACCAGGGCGGTTAGATATGGCTTCACAAGAGCACTTGCTAAAAAAGTCTTCCAGACTTTAGTCACCTATGAGCTCAGTGTGTAGCAACCAAGAAATCTTCATTCCGATGTTCACCAACACCTGACTGTGTAGCAGCCCCCGTGTAGGCCACAAAATCCACCTGTGGAAGGTGGATACCTAGACAGGACCGATGGGGCTCCTTCGCCGGCATGCACTGACGTGGAATCCCAAGAGGCCAGCTGTGTGGTTTGTGTAAGTGCCCTAGCAGCACGCTGAGAGGGTGAGTGCCCTCCCTGCTGTGCCTGCAGATGTTGGAGACCCATCATACAGGAGGTGACATCTGAGCTGAGTCACCACATGGGCCAGAAGAAGGCTGGCAGTCCTGTCGGAGGGGAGACTTGAGAGTGAATGATTCACTTAGGCTGGAGCCCAACAGTCATGGAGCGGGGAGGGGAGGGAGAGAGAATGCAGAGTTTAGGTGAGGCCCATTTGTTAGGTTGGTGGCTTGGCTTTGTTCACAGACCAGTGACAGAAGCAAGGCAGGTTTCTTTCTTTCCCACAACAGCCCAGTTAGGGGTCTGGGGAAACGGGGGCTGTGCTTCTCCAAGTCACCCAGGGACCCAGGTTCCTTGGCGTTTGTTGCTTTAAGGAGGTGTTCTCTTCCCACATGACCAAAGCTGACCTCTCACCCCCACAGCTACATCACCAGCTGGTGGCAAAGGGGGAAAGGACAGGAGGGAGTAGTGCGCAAACAGTGGCCTTTTATGGTGTGACTCAAGTTGCACGTTCACATCCTCCTGGGCAGAAAGCAGGGCCACGCCTACCTGCCTGCGAGGCAGAGAGGTGTGGACTGTTGAGTCTTGCTAAACTTGGGCCTTCTCTCCCTGAAAGGAAGAAGAGGATACTGGCTACTTGGGATTAAAGTCTCTGCCAGGAGACCACCTCTCAAGAGCTATGGTATGCCACCTGGGGGGTTTTGTATCCTCAGAGTCTAGGGAGCCCCTAAGTGTTTTATGCTGGGATTAAGGTCAGGGGGTTAGCAAGCCCTTCTGGTTGTGGTTTGGTGAGTGGACACGGGGGCCATAAAGCAGATTCGGGCTGGCTCCAGGAGGGGGGGGAGGGCAGTGGATGGAGGCTGGAGGAGGAGACTCCAAGTCCATCTTAACTTTCTCACAGGATAACCAAAAACCCACAGTGAAACAAAACGAAGAGACCAAGGTGGTCAGTGTTCATATAAGCGCTAATGGTCCAGTTGGAAAAAATGTGCAGAGTCTATCCAAGCAGTTTGTTGTGTATTTTCTTCATGATTCAAAGACTTCTGTGCACCTACTCTATGCCAGGTATGGTTCTAGAGGCTAGGGGTGTGGCAGGGAACCAAAGTGCCTCTGCTCTCCTGGGGGAGACATACCATCAACAAAGGGACAAGTGAGATGATTTCAGATGGCAAGAAGTTCTGGATAGGTTAGAAGATATAAAGTCCCTGGAATAGAAAGAGATTTGGTTAGGACCAGCCAGAAAACCAGAGTGGCAGAAGGATGGCGAGACTGGGAGTGGCCTATGGGAGGTGACATCTGTAGGTCTGGGTTTTTCCTGAAAGCCATGGCAGTCTTTGCGTAGTTCTAAGCATTAAAGTGATTGGAGCTGACATATGTTTAAAAACCGCTCTGGCTTCAGCACAGAGGCTGCAGGGTGCATGGTTGGAATCATAATCTTGAACTGTACAAATGCTTACTACATGTGCGGGTAGGGGCAAGTGTAACATGAAGCCGGAAGCCTGTGTCCTCTCAGGGTGGAGGTCCCAGGACTTCTGTGTGGTGCTGGGTCAGAACATCCAACCCCCGGGGACTCTTCCTCCTTGTGGGGTTTGAGAACCTGCTCTCAGCCCAACTACTCCAGTGTGGCCCCCAGCATCGGTGTCACCATGGAACTTGTCAGAAATGTGAACATCAGACCTCAAACCCCACACCTACTTAACCACCAAAGTTTTCACTTCAGCAAGACCCCAGGTGACTGACTCATGCACAGTGAAGTTTGAGAGGCTTTGGTGGTGTGTCCTCTAGTCTTCCTCTCCCCTTTCCTCTGCTTGCATACATACCCCACACATAACCACATGCACTCCCTTCACACCTCCCCACACCTCTCCCCTTGCCTCTGCTTGCATACATACCCCACACCTCCCCACACCTCTCCCCTTCCCTCTGCATGCATACATACCCCACACGTAACCACACACACTCCCTTCACACCTCCCCACACATACCACATACATCATATACACGTGAACCACACACACATCACATGCACACATAAAGCACACACGTATCACATACACAAATACATAAACCACACATATTGCCCATGTATAAACCACACAGATGTTGCCTACGTGCACATATGAACCAAATCACACACATGCACATATAAACACACACCATACCCCCCCCCCATACATGCTCCACACTGACTTTCCATACAAGATGCAAGCTCACTGCCAAATGACCTACAAATAGGAGGTCTAGACTAGCCCAAAATTTAGGGATCCCTGGAGGACAAGGGCAGATGCTACATGAGCTAGATTGAGAAGTTTCAAATTTAAAAACAAGGAACCTGTGGAGATTTGTCTGGTAGGAACTTGCTGTGTGCACATTGATGTTTTAAGGAGATCAACCTGACAGTGCTAAGCAGAATATTGCAAATAGAAGGCCCCAAGTGGCAGACAGTCTGGGGACTGGCATAGAAATGTTCATGGATTATATGTGAGTGCTATATGCTTTGTCGTTCACATTATTTACAAAATTACACTCCACATTTTCTGTAATATGTATCCGTTTGCAACCAAGATGAAAAACTGAACAAAACCTGTCTAGGCTCAGCACTGTTTTGTCCGGCTCTAGGATGAGGGCAGTAATTTGAGGATTGCTCAATGTCTCAGGGTCTCCTGCTTATTCTTTAAAATCCCATCTGAGGTCCTCTTCCTCTCTGCAGACTTGGGGGTCATCTTTTCCTGCCCTCCTGCCTTTCAGCACCGTTAGTACATAGCACAGGCTGGCCATGAAAGAGGCACTCAGGAAACATAAAGGTAGAAGGATAAGTCAAAGGATGTCGAGTCTGGGTAGCTGTGTGATTGGTGGTGCTTTGGAAAGAAATGCAGGATCTTGGGATGGTAGCCAGTTTGGGAGGAAAGGTCTGAAGTCATTTTTAGGTGTCCTGACTTTGTCATTGTGCAGAAGGAGACACTGAGCTGTTACAACAGACAAAAATGAAAAGAAAGCCCTGGGCTGGAGAAGGAGTGCTTTTTATTTATTTCACAGAGTAGACCTGATCCTTCCCAAGTGTCCTGTGACGGATTAACCACTCCGCACACCTTCCTGTTTGGGCCCTCCAGGGGTTTCTAGAGCCAGATTGGGCCAGGCACGAGGCGGTGCCGGGAGGCTCCCTCTGCACCTTGCCTCTGCATTTAGTGCAGCGGGTTTGGACCGGATGTGCTGGGGCTTGCACATCCACAGAGCCTGCCTGTGAGCCCAGAACTGGGGATCAGTGAGGTCCTGGCACCTAAGCCAGCCCATGTGCACGTCCCCCTTGGACGGCCAGTAGCGCCCTGACCAGAGCAGCAGGGAGAGCGGGACTTCCTGTTGGTGAAGTGCCTCTTAACCTCTCCCGGGTCTCCTTGTTGGAACGTTTGTAATCTGGATTCAAGAGCATAGTCCATTCCATGTGATGTGTAAAGTAAATTAGGGAAAATACATTTTTACACTGAAATCAAATTCCCGGGACTCTCTGGGACAGAGGTGTTAGTTACATAATCTTCCACGGGTTGAAACTTCACGCTCTTCAGAGCCACTGTGTCTTTTCCTTCAAAGAATTGCTCACAGGCTGGGCAGGATAGCTTCAACCAGTGAGCCCACCTTCTGGTGCAGGAATAGCGGGTAGTTAGGTTCACTGAACGCCCAGCAGAAGGTCTTGTGTGTGATGTTGAACCCCAGCGGCCTGCCCATGTTAGAAGCAGCCGGTGGCCCTCAGACCCACACCCGCCACCTCTTTTGTTCAGAGTTGCCCACAGGAGGCGTGAGTGTCTCTGCGAGACGAGGGAGCTCGTCGGTTTAACCACCTCCTGTACTTTTATGTACTTTCATTTCAGATCATCAGGAAAGCCCTTTCTGAGGAAAAACGCGTCTCAACAAAAACATCAGCTGCAGACCTCGTGACAGAAACGGATCACCTTGTGGAAGGTTTAATTATTTCTGAGCTGCAAAAGAGGTTTCCTTCGCACAGGTAGGTGTGTTCATTGGGAAGACACCCTAGTAGCATGCTGCCAGCATCTGACTTGGGGTGCCAGGTCGCTGGTTGCTGGGAGCAGATGTGAAGCAGGGAGCCTTACAGTCTGCCTCTAAGACAGCGTGGTAAACACACAGTTGTTTTCATTCATCTTACTGTCATCTTGACGACCCTCATGTCAATATGTTACCTTACAAATACCGAGAAAGGTCCACTTCCTATAACGCACCCAGGGGAAGTCTCTGCTGTCCTCGGCTAAGTCACTTGGCATATTTCTGGAGGGACTTGTGTCTGCTTGGTGACCCCATGCAGACTTTCCAAGACGGACGCGGCCCCAGGTCCACTGGCTGATGGTGCGCCCCTGCCGGTCCTCAGTGATGCACCCTCTTGTGCCAACCAAGACCAGCAGACCTGGAAAGCTGCTCTCCACCCGAGAAGGCCCTTATTAGGACTCTGCCCTCTTCTCTAGAGCAGAAGTTCTTAACCGTTCTGGCATCACCATGTGGAGAATCCAATGCAAACCACTAATTTTTTCCTCAGAAAAATTCAAATATGTATGCGGCATTTCGCATCTAGCTCCAGGGGAACCCTAGACCTCAGAGGAAGACTCCCCTTGAACTCTGAGTGGGGTTCTCAGGCCCTCCTTCACCTCTGGAGTTCTGCAGAAGAGAGTTGGAAAACCACTGCCTTAGATGAGAGGGGTCTTTCTCCTCACAGAGGAGACTAGAATAGGAGCTCTTGGATTTCTGGTTGTGGATAACTGTGATTGTGGTAAGGTTCCATGTTTGATGGGCTTACACAGCAGAGACCTGGAAGGTGACCTCCCTGAGCATCCATCTGGCACAGGGTGGGTGCAACAGAGTTTTTCCCCTGTGAGTGATTAAATGAAAGAAGGGACAAGCCAGCCTTCAAACATACCTCCTTTTTTCCCTGTTGTTTCCTCCTAGCTGGTTAGGTCATCTCAGGGTCACCAACTCTCCTTTCGAAATTCTCTCTGCCAGTGGGTCACGTTTGTTTTGTTGACACCCTTTATGTGTGACCGTCTGTTATTTCCTATTTCCTTATTCAGTGTGAAGTCAGGATTCCTAACATCTGTTATAATATTTTTAAGCTCTAAAATGTTTATGATTTTCTTTTAACATTTTGAAATATAAGGTAAATGACAATGCCAAAAGAATTCTATAGGTTGCTTTTATTCTTTGAGAGGAAAAAGGCTGCAGTAACCAACCAGCTGTTTGTGGTTGAGGAACTGTTTTGGTGCTTGAAGTTTCTGTGGTATTGGTCCAGGTGGCCGTGGCAGAAGTGAGGGCTGGCTTGGTTATGTGGTAAAGGCCTGGAGGTCACTGCAAGACCAGACATATTGACGTTATCAGGGCTTGGCTTCTGGCGTATTTCAGTTAGAATACTCTTGCCAAACTGAATTCTGAAATCACATACCTATTGTATGTGTTGGCAGCAATTGCTGAGTGGTTTGGGTCCACTCTTGTGGATTCATGTCAATATGGGGCATGGATTCCATTTGTACAAGGTATATTTAAATCTTCATTGCTGCATATTCCAGGAGAAAAGTCAGTGTGTTATATGAGTGATTGTACCTCCTTCCGCCCCCACCACCCTCCCCCGCCCCACTTGACCCTGCAGCCTGGGGTTGCCTGGAGATCACCAGACTCTGAAGCCCCTTTGGAAAAGCATTGACCCAGGGCAGTGGACCCTACCTAGGGTGTACTCCAGGCCCACCTGGGAGCTTCTCCAACCTGCTAATGCCCGGCCTCCATCTCTAAAAAGCCCTGGGAGATGCAGATGCACACATCTGCCCAGGAATCCGTGATTTATAGCGATGGTTCCCAAACTGCCCCAAGCTGGTGCCAGCCAGCCTGTGAGGGAAGAGATGTGGCTGCCCAGTGGTAAGCCCCGGCGTTTTGCCGCTTCCTTCTCAGCTCTGAGGGCACCACCAGGACTGGGGGAAGCCTGGATGTCCTGCTTCTATTCTGCTCAGTTTGCCTAGAGAACTCAAATAGATGAAATCATTTCTCAACATATCTATGCCAAGTTAGGTGTGGGGTTTTTTTTTTGTTTTTTGTTTTTTTTTGCTTTTTTGCCAGTGACTAGGATTTAAAATAATTTGGGAACACTTAGTTATATTTTAGATCACAGATAAATTTGCAATGAGAAAAAATGGCATACACATTATAAAAAAGCATATTGTAATTTTTCTGCATTCAGAGCATTTAAATATATCCCTTAAATCAATTAGCATAAAGTTGCCTATGATTCTTATTTAGGAAGGACTCCCTGTTATTCTGAGCTTATGCTCATCCCCATTTTATGTCTTTTGTGAAACAATATTAAAGATATATTGCACCTGTTTTGTTTTTAATAAAATAAGTCTACCTGGTGTAGACTCGGTGGTTTTATTATTTTATTGTACTCATTTGTGAAATCCAGAGTCTGGTCCCTTATCTGGAAGACAGGAGTATGCTGAGCCAAAAAACTGTAAGATTGAAATTTGCTACTGCCCGCGGCTTTGGCAAATCACCCCAGCCAGTTCTCAGGGTCCCAGCCTTCTCATCTAGGATGGGGCACCCAGCCAAGGTCATCGTATGGTGGTAATGACAGAAAGCAAACCAGCAGGTTAAGGTTGACAGAGAAAGCACAGTATTGGCATTGACCACATTAGCCCAGTCCCCATCCAGGCCTGCCTTTGTTGGGTGCCTAAACCTGTTTTTAGTGAATAATTTTTGAGTCAGATCCAAGCTCCACAACTTTGGAAATCTTTAGTAGCATCACTGAACCATATTTATATACACCTCGTCCTTATCCCTTGTGTCTGGGTTGGCACAGGCGAAGGGAGGAGAGCAGCTTGAGCTGCTCAGTGCACCCAGCTGCCTCCTCTGTCCCAGAATGGGCTCCCCTTGGCGGGACACGGCCTCATCCATCGTGGTGACTCCTGTGCCCTGCAGCATGCCCAGTATCCTCTAGACTTGGAAAATGTAAATTCCTGGCCACCACTGGCTAGACACTCGCTCCCCACCGCTTTCCCACCGTGTTTTGCCCTGGGTGCCCATTGTCCTCGGGCAGCAGAGCCTGCTGCGTTGCTGGCGAGGCCTGGGAGCATTAATTGGCTCCCTATTTGACCAAAGGATGACCCTGATCTTGTCACAGAGTAGACAAACTAGCCAGGGGAAAAGGGCCTAGATGCCCTTGGCCATCAAAATTATAAGAAGGGTTTGTTAGGACTATAAGAAAAAAATGGTAGTTGAATTATGCAGCAGAATGTGTCATTCTAATCTGTTATGAAGCTTTGAAGCTTACCCCAGGTGCTGTTTTCGTCTTGTACATTAGCTGGCTTATGAAAAGGCCCAGGAGCTCCCTAAATTTTAGGTAGATTGTTTTTTTCCTACTTATGTTATGGATTTTATGTAGCTGTCCCAGTGCTTTTACTAAGATCTCCATAATTTCACACCTCCATGTGTCCAGCTTGATGTCCCTGTGGAGAGCTGAAGAATGTTCTCTCCCATTCTGTAGGTACTAGCTTCCCAAATGAGGAAAATCAGGTTTCAGTGAATAAACTATAGCTCTCCTTACATACCAGGGAGGTATTTTGGATGCCTCAGAAGAGTGGACATCATCAAAGGCCCTGCCCCAAAGTGCCACCTGCAGGCACAAAGCAAGTAGGGAGGTGACAGACACTCCTTGCACCTCTGTCACTCGGGCAGCTGAGAAGAAGAGAACTCTCAGGCATGAATAATCAACTGCAAAAGTCTAGGACTCAGAATGATTACTTTGAGCGATTCCTACCAGAACTGCTGTGCAGAACAAAAGCTGTGTCAACAGAAGCATTGTGGGTGCTTCTTTCAACAGGCTGCTTGGTGACCCCCCCTAGACCATGTCCATCCCACCTCCTGTCCCCGCCTGTCCTAAGAAGCCCCATTGGTGCACTGCAGGTTGTGCTCCCTGACTCATGTGTTAGCTGCCAGTCCTGCAGAGATGCTCTCTCCTCTTCCTTCCTGGGAGACCCCGGCAATTGCCCCTCCAACTCTAGAAGGTACCCACTTCCTGCTTAAATTAAGTTTAAAAAGGAAGAAAATTCCACATTTCTCCTCAGTTTCTGGGAATTTATGTTTGGATGTGAGTCATTGCCATTTCTATCTTGGCCTTCTCACTGCTTTATGATCCTTGTGCCCAATTGAAGATTTGGCAGTTGGTCCCTATATGTGTGTTTTTGGGGTGTAGACCCTTTTCCTCAAGACCATAATCACCAGCCATTACATGGGAGGAAAATCATGTAGCTGTAGAAAAAAGGCATTGAAAAGGGATTTAATTCCTTAACTCTTTGGCTAAGAAAACTGGCAGAGCTAATGCTATGCCTGACCGTGACTCTGTTTGCACATCACCTGCCTTCCTGCTGTGGTCAGGGCACAGTCTTCACTGCCCGGCCCTACTCTGCCCGGCTTGGCTCCTCCAGCGTTGACTTTCACCATGCCATGTCTACCATCTAGACCTGCCTGCCTGGATCACATGATCCAGTGACCCAAAAATCCTGTGGAGGGGGGTGATGGTAGGGAGGGCAGCTCCCAGCAGGAGGAGGGGACCAGGAGCAAACAAAAGCAAGGAACTTGCATCCCCTGCCTCTCTAGATTGTAAGCCTCTGGGCTCAGACTGTGCCCACTCAAGTTTTCTCTGCACTGTGACCATTTTTCAGGGTGTGGGTTATGGGTTCCTCAGGTGTCTCACTCAGTGCTTCCCCACCCCAGCGCCCTGCCTCTCCCACGTGGGTTTCTCCAGGGGACAGCAGCTGGGGGGAGGGAAACCCTAACCTGAAAATGACACACAGTCATTCGTCATACACACTGACAGGTTTCAGATGCTTTATCCAATAGAGGAGGTAGATGACTCTGTGCGTGCATGTAGAGCATGAGTTTCATAATCTGTAAAATGGAAAATGATGCTCCCAGAGTTGTCAGGGGACCGTACGAATTACAAGGCGTGTGTCACTGCTGTTCTGACGGAACCATGACTTCAGAATGCACAGCACTTGTTCTTCCTTGAGTGTTACGGATGAGGACAACACTTGAAATGCGGCTAGTGAGAGTAAAGAACTGACTTTTTAGTTTTGTGAACTAGCATTTAATTGAAATTATTTAAATTTAAACAGTCACATGTAGCCAGTTGGTACCGTGTTGGGCAGAGCAGTTACAGAGCTTTCCAGCTCCGCCTTTTTATTTACAGTATGATGTCCATCTCAGCCGCAAGTTCATTGCCACATATTAGGGCGGACGCACAGCTCCTCTGGAGCAAGTGGTTTCCGGGAGCACTTAGAGGCCAAGCTGCTCTCCTGCTCTGCTGCCTGAAGACCACGACTGACAACATACCAGATGCCACAGGAGGACATGAAATGTTTCTTGTTTTCCCTTCATTTATCCTTCTTGATAAAAACATACTGTCTTCAGGCCCCCTTTTTCTCTAGTACGGACATGTGCATAGCATGAGAAGCCGATAGAAAAACCCTCCACAAGGCCTTGCGTTCCCACACAGAACAGGTGTTTGCTCAGCGCCTGCTGCGGACCAGGCCCTGGCGACAAGGCCGAACACAGGGCAAAGGCCCCGCTCCTGGTGAACCTGGGCTTGTTACATGACAGTTGGAGACACATACCAAGCACTCTGTGCACCAAGCCCTGGTGTGTAAGCTTTAGAGAGGGTATGTTCTTTACTCTCGAGAGCGGCTCCAGGAGGCATAAGCAGAGGCTGGCCCTGCAGGGACACCGGCTCAGAGGTGGCGTCTGTGGTGCATAAACCAGTGCCCAAATGCCCCCACATGCTGTGCCGAGCCTGTGTGGATGGATGGAGGGCAAGGAGGACAAAGGGAAGAAGTAAGGGTGCCTTCCCTGGTTCTTGGCCTGAGCAGCTGGGTACTGACGGTGCCTTTTGTTGAGCTAGATGTGAGGAGGGACAACCAGGCTAAATGTTGAGATGTGTTTCTCTTGTGCAGGTTCCTAACAGGAAATAGGTGGCTTGCTCAAGTGAGGATGGCTCAGGAGGGCCTGTCTACCGAGGACTAATTATAGAGGAGGGAGCTGGGGACAGGGGCCCACTCTAGCCAGCGCAGGGGGTACACAGCCTCAGTCCTGGGCTGCCCGTGTTCTTACAGGGTGCGTGGGTCGCAGAGCATGAAGGAGAAGGTGTGGCCCACCCATGGCTCCTGGGCCAGAGACCAGGATGGAAAGGGCCTCTGAGGAGAAATGGCAGCTGCTGTGGAGCCCGAATGGTGGGTGGACACAGTTGTCACCTTCTCTGCAGCTCAGAGGAGGCCAGGCTGGGTACAGACCTGGGAGGTGTCAGCTGTGGGTGACATTCAGTGTCTTGGGTCCAGTGAAGCAGTCCACGCCGGCCACAGCATTACTGGTGGGAGAGCTAAAGCCTGAGTCCTGGGTCCTGCTCCCTGGCCAGGATTCCACCTTCTCTTCTCTATCCTTTGTCTTCAGCCTTTTCTCCTCCAGACTAAAGTTAGAGCAGAGTTTAGCTTTGTGTTATAAAATCTGTTCCCCGGTGTTCTTCTCTCGTATTTCTCCACCTGACCCACTCACGCTCCTTGATGCTTTCCCAAAACTCCTATGTTGAGGTGTCACTTCGTGTTTTCTAAGTCCTGCTAAGTAGGCTAGCAGACAGAAAAGCAGATGGTCTCTTGTAGACTCTGCTTCTGATTGACCCAGAGAAACCATAATGAAATCTCTCTGCTGTGTCTGCTTTGTCTTTAATGGGACCGGAAGCAGTTTGAAGCGCTTTGTCTTGAGTTCTTGGCGAGTTTTCTCAGGCTGAGCTCCTGTCCGCCACAGGTTCATTGCTGAAGAGGCTGCAGCCGCCGGGGCCAAGTGTGTGCTCACCCCCAGCCCCACCTGGATCGTCGACCCCATTGATGGCACCTGCAACTTTGTGCACAGGTGAGCATAAGCACGGGTGACCCCCATTCCAGTGCCTAAACTGTCCTCAGAGCCCTCCAAGACTTTGTCTTTCCCAAAACAGCATTTTTTGAGGCAGGAGTATATAAACTTCTAGTAGGTTGATAGTCTCATTAAAAAGGTGATCATGTATTGATTTTTTTTTAACTTTTTTAAAAATGTTTTTTATTTATTTTTGAGACAGAGAGAGACAGAGCATGAGCAGGGGAGGAGTAGAGAGAGAGGGAGACACAGAATCCGAAGCAGGCTCCAGGCTCTGAGCTGTCAGCACAGAGCCCGACGCGGGGCTCAAACTCACGGACTGTGAGATCACGACCTGAGCTGAAGTCGGACGCCCAATCAATTGAGCCACTCAGGCGCCCCTATCATGTGTTGATATTTTTTAAAATAAGGTTTTCCATATTTCCTTCTTTTCCTTATTGTGAAATACTCTCAGCATGTAGGAAATCTTCATTTGTTTAAAAATGTTGTGTCTGCCATCTTTAAAATGTTGGTTTAAATTAAGAACCCCTTAAGGAACCCCTGGAGAAACAAGCAGGGTTATAAGACAAGTGTGTGCAGTCCAGCAGCTGCAGGAGCACGGGTCTGGACAGCAGCCCCTGAGGGGTGGCCTTCCAGAGCTGTCTTCAGAGGTGGGAGCAGACCTCATGCTACCGTGAGGTGGCTGAGGAACCCACTGGCAGCAGGCCGGGCCTAATCTGACTGAGTAAATAACAGCCAAAGAGCACTCCGTTTCAGGGAGGTCAGAGAGGCCCTTGGGCAGAGGGGGAATGAGCTGCAGAGCTCGGGGAGGGGATAGGGATGTGGCTTCTGCTCCAGAAGCTCTGACCGATGGGATGGGCATCAGAGCTGTCCAAGGACACAAGGGCACTGAATGTGACACAGTTTCCACAGACTGTTGGTTCTCTGACGTGAACATGCATAGGGCCCCCGGAGAGCTGGCTGGCACAGGTTCAGGGCCCTGCCTGGGTCCCCGTCCAGGTTGGGCAACCCATGGATGTGCATTCCTCACAGGCATACAGGCAACGCCAACAGTGCGGGACCACACTTTGAGAGCCCCTTCCACAGATGACTAGGAAATACTCTGTTTCCTTACGTAAAGTGAAAAAGCATGAGCACATCCAGACTGGGGGGGGGGGGGGGGGGGGAGGGGCTTTCCTCTGTGTTTTGCCTCAGATAATGTGTTTATGTGTAAGTACGTAAAGTAATCCTGATCCATCATGTTAATCATCATCCTTTTCTTAACCCCTCACTGTGGGTTATCTTGAGAATTTAGTCTGTCATACCCACACATTGCCTTTTGAGGCAATGGAATAGTGCCATCTGGTGACAGCAGCAGTGTCACCAGCCTAATTTGAAGCAGGACACCCCCCCCACCCTGGGCAGGAATTCGCGTGGAGCCTCGGTCTCCCCTTGTAGGTGTGTTTCACTGAGTGGAGCTTCTGTTCTTCTGTCTCACTTGTGATTGAAGTGTGCTGGTAATGGGGACAGGACGGGCTGAGCCCCATCGTGTGGTGAAGGCCACACATCCACCAGCGGGCCTCTCCTGGGTCCCAGTGGTCCCTGGGCCACGCAGAACATGGAACCAGATAGACAGCTTGGAGGAGAGCATCATTTGGAAAACCAGCTGTGGTGCTGGTCGTCAGGTTCCAGGACACCTTCAAGGGCCACAGCGTAGTGATTCTTGTGGCCTAAAGACATCGGACGCCTTTGGCCACTGCAGCTCAGATAGGATCTGTTCATTCTCTGTCCAACAGTGTCAGGGCTGAAGCATGTGAGAGAGAGCTTTCTGAGATACCTAAAGTGGAGCCTGGCGTGCCGTGTACTTGCTCAGCGAGCCACCCGCCAGATGGCCATGCCGACTGCTGCAGCCTCAGTCAGGGCTCACGTCTGTGTGGGACTGGTTTCATAGTTTTCCTGGAGGTTAGTAGTGCCCAGCTTCTTCCTACTTGCTGGTAAGCTCTGCTGATCTTCACATAAAAGAGAGATTATTTCCAAGAGGTACAGCAGCAACAACAACAAAATCATAAAAGTGCAGGCAATCTGCGATGTCACAGCCCGCCTCTGACGGCTGTGGCCCGTGCCTGCATAGGACCCAGGGTGAGGAGGGGCACTGTTGTCACCCAGACCTGGCCTCTGGGTGGAGGCTGTGATGCCCCCTCCTGGGGGCCCCTCCTCACCTCAACTGGGACGTGGGTCTGGCCTTTTGGGAGGTCCCTACTGTCCCTTATGTCTCTGAGAACCAGCAAGCTGATTATTAAAATACCTCTCAATTGGGTACTCGATGGTCATTGTTGAATTACATCAATCTTACATGACTTTCAGAATACTGCTTTCTTTCAAGGTCAGCTATCTTACAACATGGTCGGTTAAGCCTATTTGTCTTGGAAGCAGTTAGTGAAGTTGTGGGAAGTAATTTTTAAAAAAAACAAACCCACCCACACTGTATAAAGTTCTTTCTGTGCCTCCAGCGACGATGCTACGTAGCCACACAGAGGTTCCTAAGAGTTTGCATGAGACCATTTATATTTTAGAGTGTAAACCATTCTGTTTTTCTTTGCAGATTTCCCACCGTGGCAGTAAGCATTGGATTCGCTGTAAACCAAGAGGTACATGGTGGGTGGGTCCCCCGGCCAGTGGTCCTGAGCCCCTGGGGCCTGGTTTAGCACCTTCCTTTTTGGGTTCCATCCCAGTACTCCTGTTTTCCCGTCTTTGTCATGTGCCTTAATCATGACTAGTAAATTCAAGCATGTGTTTTTCAAATCCAAGAAAGTAAACAAATGAAAACTGGTTTTGGGGTGTGCAGGTTTGGGACTCCATGGCCAGCTCACCCCCGTGGTGGCTGACCCTTGTTCCCACCATGGTCTTTCTGTGATGCTGCTGGAGAAGCATGGAAAGGGAAGTTCTGAGCAAATGGTCCACGTTAGTCTCCCTCTGACCCCTGGGGCGTGTGACCTAGTCACACACAGAAGAAACTCCTATTTTTGGAGGACATTTTTAATCCCAGTATTTCATTAGTTCTTCCTCATCCTTCTCTAGCTATCAGCATGAGAACGAGACTGCTGCAGGGTTCCCATCACCCGTAGAGCTACGCAACGTCACAGGACCATAGGATGCATAAAGGCGTTAATCAGTTTAAGCAGTGACACTTAACACTTCCTCTGCAGTCACCACAGTTATATTTAAATAGAACGGGGGGTTCGTATTTTCCAAAAGCAGCCCTCCGCCAGAGCACTGTTTTCTCTTCTTCACCCTCAGTGCCAGCATCAGTTCTCTAGCATGGAAACTGAGAGAAGTTTGTACCCGTGTAACAGTACTAAGGTGAAGATACCTAAAATTTTTGAAATCTGGTTAAGGAGTTAAATGCTCACTTGTCTGTCTGTTAGGTGTCATTGAGACCGAATAGGAGGCTGAGCATTAAGCTCAGAGGGTGACCCTCATGACCACGTGTCAGTAACTGAGTTTGGGGGACAAAATGCTGTGGGCGGGCAAGGTCTCCGATGGCAAGGCCCGCAGCCCCGCTGGGCCCAGTGCGAGTGCGCGCAGGTGGTCTGGGCTTGTAGTAGAGGGCTCTGGTCAAGGGGAGCGTCCCAGCTTTCCTCACCCCTCCCTCCTGCTAGCAAAGGCCTCCAGGCCCCCCAACCACCCCAGGGGCACAGGGTCTAGAGGCCCGTGTGGTTCTAGGACTACACTTGTTTGGGAACCCCCTGAAAGCCAGGGTGAGGGGTAGGGAGGAAGATAGTGAAATATTGCTGGAAGGCCGACTGAATGATCCTCCTCAGAAAAAAACCCTCTTCCTGCCTTGCTGGGGAGTCCATTCCACTGTGGTCGAGCTCACCCCAGACTAGCTGAGACTCTCTCAAGAGATTTGGCCTGGGTCTCTCTTTGTTTTCCAGGGAAATGAAAACATGGCCAGCCCCCAGACCACACACACTTGCTCCTGTCAACCCCAAATAGCGACCAGTTGGTAGAAGAAAGAAGACAAAGCACGTGTGTGTAGGGCAGCGTTCCGTCCCACTCTCACCTCTTCTTTTTACTGTACCTATGGGAGGCTGCCGTCTGAGGCCGAGTGGCTGCAGTTTGGCACTCCACCTGCACAGGGACACGCCCCTCCTTGGCGAATCACCTCTCCCTCTTGGCCATCCTTGACTTGTGATTCTGTCATCAGCTTTACAGATGTATTCCTAATTCTTCACAAGTCAGCAACTTTGAGGGCTTCTTGTGAGGATTAGTCACGAGTAGCCTTCCCCACCCTCCACCCCCCAAAGCCAAGGCCTTTCTGAAGAATTAAGTTTTTTCAATAGCTTTCAGTTACTCACGCTTGATTATGATGTTAATTTTTAGTAAAGCTATATTAGTGTTAGTATATTTTAAAGCATGTCATTTTCAAAAAGACATGTCCAGTTTTGAATGGAGACACTAATGCTTTTCAGTTCCCTTTTGTGAAGGAGTTTCCATCACACTGGTCATAACACCAAGAACACCTTCCCCTTTGAATTACTGTCTTATTTTCTGTGTCAAATAAGCGAAGCATTTTTGTTTTCCATCCTGCCCCTGCACCCCACAGCTGGAATTTGGAGTGATTTACCACTGCACAGAGGAGCGGCTGTACACAGGCCGGAGGGGCCGGGGCGCCTTCTGCAACGGCCAGCGACTCCGGGTCTCCGGGGAGACAGGTAGGGCCTTGCGTGGCTCGTCTCAGGTCATTTCAGATTGAGAAATGTGAATGGAAAATGCCAGAATCACCATTCTGGGAGACGGTGCTGGAAGTCCCCTGCTGAGGGTTCAATTTCTTTAGGGACATTGTGTCTCTGATGACCTGGAAATCGAGCCAGTTCTGTGTCTTAATGTTTTTGTGGATGTGGCCAGGAGCTTTAAATAGTCTCATTCTGTTTTACACTCACATCTCTCATCTTCCGTGCTCAGAGAGACCCAGTCACCAGTGTGGTGTGGTCTCTAGCAGTCCAAGGACAAGGGCAGAGTCAGAAGCATGCTCTGGCCCTCAGAGCGTCCAGGTAGACATCAGTCATCCGGATGTCACCAGGGCGACATCACCCAGGTGCAGTCTGCGGCTCACCGGGTGTGGACTGGCTGCAGTTGGCTTCAGGTTCTGTGAGAAGACGGTGGCCATGGGAATGAGCTGTGTGAATCTGTGATGTTTCCACGCACCACAGCTGTGTCACCGTCGGCGCTACTCCTAAGGCAGAACCTCAGGGACACCCAGTAACTTTTATAAAGTGGCTGTGGCTACACTTACACAGCACAGAAGCACGTGTCCTTAACAATATGCTGGTTTAGGTTTTTCATGGGCTTTTCCGCCCTTGTCTCCCACTGATTAAATCCGTGATATTTTATCGCATTGTGGGACAGGTACTATAGAGGCAGAAACAGAAGAAGAGTCACAGCCTAGAAACAGCTAGATTAGGAGAAGACTTTGAAAGCTCCCTCACGTCCATGTGTGAGTGTGAAAAGGTAGAAAAGTGCAGTGGCTGCTAACTTGGAACTTGCACATCTCTGCAGCAGGACGTCATGAGGTACCCTCCCCGTCGTGGCTTCGGTCCGTGGGTGTCAGCGCTCTGCCTTTCTTCATGGTCTCTAATTCTTCTGCCTTTTCTTCCTCCCTGGATGGCACCTGGGTGCCTAGATGGCCTCAGAGGCAATGAGGAGAGTGAGAGATGACCCTGCCTTCCCACTGCTCCTCACTGAGTGAGAACGAGTTCTCCAGCTCTGATCTGCAGCCCAAGGACAGCACTGCCATCAGGGAGCCCTTTGTGCCTGGAGCCAGCAGCCCGGCCCAGTGAGGAGCCCAAGGGGGCTCCCTCAGGGGCCTCTGAAGGTCACAAGCATGCCCAGGGAAGGGGAAAGGGAACATCACACGAGGCTTCAGACAGACGTGGGACCAGCAGGGCATGCTAACCAGTTAACTGCTTCTGAGTCCCAGGGAGATTCCAGAACAGCCTCCAGCCTTACCCCATGCCTCCCTCTCCCAGAGATGTTTTGTTTGGCTGTGTAAAAAGAAGCCCTAATTGTAGGTACACATGCCAAGAGGTAACCACTCAGGCCAAATTGTGTAACTTAGTAGTGAGGAAGCCTGTCATTAAACACGCTTACGTGAACTTTGCTCTATATTTGTTTGATTAGAACACTCGGCTCCATTCACACACACTTGGCTTCCTGGTCAGCTGCCTGCGTGGCTCAGTTGTGCATGACTACTTCCTGTCCTCAGCGGGCCTCTCAGACCCACGTGGGGCAGGGATGCTGGGTCACCTCTACATCTGGCCCAGCATCGGCCCTCCAGCTCCACGCAAGCCCTGTCATGAACCCCCTCTGCAACACAGCTGGGGCTCCCACTTCTCTCAAAACTGCCCGGGTTCTGGAGCTCCTTTTTAAAAACTTCTGACTTACAAAGAGTCCGATGTGCTGTTTTCAGTGCTGGTCATTTTGTACTCACCGGGTGACGGGATTTCTATGGAGGCAACAGAGCAACTGTCTGTTTCAGTCCCAGTTCTGCCACCTTCACTGTGAGAGCCAGCTGTCACTTAACCCCCCACCCCCGAGCCTCCATCCTCACGTGGTTGGTGGGGTGGCGATGACGGTGACTGAGGACTCAATGCGGTTCTACAGAGAAAGCACTCAGTTAAGTCCCCGGCACGTGGTACCCAAAGATGAGCGTTGTTACCAAAGGAGAAAAGACTTTAGTCTTTGCACAAGATCATTAAAGCCCATTGTGAGGATCAGGGTACGTTTCTGGAGGAAACAGGACACCCCCCACTGATCTTTCTCCTTCCCTTGTTTCTATTACCTTTCCAGAATGTCTTCCATTCACAAAGTAAAAAGCAAACAGAACCATATCAGATGGGGTAAAGGATTAGATTGAGGCCAAAGTTTCCTTAGTGCCTTTTTTTTTCCCTTCACTTCCCACCATGCAGAATTTCAAACATGTACAAAGTAGAAAAAGTACAGTGAGGGGCGCCTGGGTGGCTCAGTTGGTTAAGCGTCCGACTTCAGCTCAGGTCACGATCTCACGGTCCATGAGTTCGAGCCCCGCGTCAGGCTCTGGGCTGATGGCTCAGAGCCTGGAGCCTGCTTCTGATTCTGTGTCTCCCTCTCTCTCTGCCCCTCCCCAGTTCATGCTCTGTCTCTCTCTGTCCCCAAAAAAATAAATAAACGTTAAAAAAAATTAAAAAAAAAAAAAAAAAGAAAAAGTACAGTGAACCCACATGACCCACCATGTGTCCAGCATTGCCAATGCAGTCACCCCTGCTTCATCCATACCCCCACCCAATTCCCACCACCACGAGCAAGTCCCGGATTCAAATCCCAGACTTAATATCACTTCTGAGTCAGCATTTCAGTATGTATCTCCAAGCATACACGTGATTCTTTAAAATGCGTTATTACGTATCCCTCTAAAAATTATCAGTTATTTCTGAAGTCATTAAATATCCAGTGTTCAAATTTCCAGTTGTTTCATCCTGTGGAAAACAGCTTTTCAAAGTGCCACTCAGTTCTCAGGGTTCCTTGTGGCTCCTGGTCAGTCTTTGTCACTCGCCTTCTCCGTGGACAGAGCTAGGAAGTTGTTTTTTAATATAAAAAACATTGTGAGTTCATACTGGTGTTTTTAATTCATATTCATGACTAGAAAGCTGTCTGTCTCCCTAACTCTTTGATCTGTGTCTCCTCTCCCCACGCTGGAACCTGTATGCGCGGGGACTTGGGGAATGATAAATTCAGTAATGTCACACGATCACTTTTCCTCTTTATCCCACAACACACAAAAGATACCAGTTTCTGAATAGCAGTACTAGCCAGCTGTCAACAAACTGTTCCCCAAAGCCCTTGCAACGATGTTTTTCTTTTGCTTTGTATTGTCATTTAGAGTCTACAAAGTGGTTCTTTACTCCCTTTGCTTATGAGGATAATCCCTTAGATACATTTGCTGCACTTTGCTTTTAATTTAGGAAGATGTTTTTAAAAATTGATTTTGGGGCGCCTGGGTGGCTCAGTCGGTTAAGCGTCCGACTTCAGCTCAGGTCACGATCTCACGGTCCGTGAGTTCGAGCCCCGCGTCGGGCTCTGGGCTGATGGCCCAGAGCCTGGAGCCTGCTTCCGATTCTGTGTCTCCCTCTCTCTCTGCTCCTCCCCCGTTCATGCTCTGTCTCTCTCTGTCTCAAAAATAAATAAACGTTAAAAAAAAAAAATTTTTTTTTTTAAAAATTGATTTTGTGTTTTAACTATACAGAAAGCTACATTGTTACAGAGTCAAATCTATAAAACAAAGTGTATTCCAAGAGGTTTAGCTTCTGGCCCTGTCCTTTACCCTATTGTCTCCCTCCCTCTTAGAGATTACCATCTAAAAAGCGGTTCCATTGCTTATTTTAGGTGTACTTTTTTTTTTTCTTTTAAATAAGCAGCTGCTTCATTTGCTTTTATTCTCTGTTTTGGTATAATTTTTGGTACTTAGAAAGGTTTCTGTTTTTGTTCCAGTAATTTCCTTTATGTAAAAATGTTTCCATTCTACCCTACTCCTCTCTTTTTTGGGTTACTGTTATCAGTGACAATACTTAAGTTAGCTTATAACTCTTCTTCCCCCTCCTCATAATGTACTCCAGTATGATTAAAACATGATAACCTTTCACTCAGTTACGACAAGGCAGTGGCTAGCTTATTGTACTAGTCACACCCTCTCCTCGTTACCTTTCCACCTCCTGATGGTTGTGCGTGTGTGTCGACAGGGCAAGTGGCCATGCGTATGATGCTGTCACCCAAGAACCATCAGTTAGTGCATAGTCTTGGTTCCACAAGTAGATTAGATGTGGTACCCCCACCAGTCTCTTATGCCGATATATCTCCATTGGGTGAAGCTCAAGCTCATTCACTTGTGCAGCATTTCTCACATTTTTTTGATCCTATTTATACTACTGAAAAAATTATTGAAGACCCCCAAAGAGCTTTCATTTATGTAAGTTATACCTGTTGGTATTGATGTATTTGAAACTCAAGCAGAAACTTTAAAAATCCTTATTAAGTTATCTTTAAAATAACTCATTACATGTTAACATGAGTAATATATTTTTTATGAGAAACAACCATTTTTTCCAAAACCAAATTTTCATGAGTGGCATTATTTTACATTTTTTTCAAATCTCTTTATAATGTCTGGCGTAATAGAAGACAACTGGATTCTCATATCTGCTTCCGTATTCAACCTGTTGTAAGGTATTATCTTGATGTATGAAGAAGATCTGGCTTTACACAGCTGAGTAGTTGGAAAAGGTGAGGAATATTTTAATAGACTTTCAGTAACTGGGGATATTCTTTGATGCCACACCAAAACTCACGAAGTGGTGGTTTCTTCAAGGTTAGTTGCAATATGGAATGTAATGACGGTCAATGAATTTCTTTGTACTCTGTGACCATGAAATCTACTGGGGAGGTCTCCTGCTTTGAAGGGATCTTCTGTTCATGGATGATTTTGTAACATCATGCCTTGGTCATTTGGAAAATATGGGTTCACTGAGATTTTCAAGCTCTTTTAAATGTTGACCGATTTCATTGTAAACTATTAAGCAAGTTGTACTCAGTGTCACTACTCTCATGAGACATCTTTAAGTGTTGGGAAGGTGTCAAACTTTCGGTAGTAGATCTAAGCCTTCCCAAATTCTAATTTCCACTT